CTTTCTTAAGTCCATACAGGGATTTATACAGCATTTATACCTTGTTTTCTTCGCCATGTTTCACAAATTCAGCTGGTTGTGCAACATAAACTTCTTCATCTAAGAGGCCATTTAGAAATGAACATTTCACATCCATCTGACATATGTACCAGTTGTTCATGTTTGTTAGACCGACAACCAACCTAATTGTTTCGATTCTAGCAACTGGTGCAAAAAATTATTCGAAGTTAATTCCTTCTTTCTGAAGAAATCCTTTCGCCACAAGTCTCGCCTTGTGTCGAGTTACTTCTCCTTTGGGATTCAGCTTCACCTTGTATACCCACTTCACATCAATTGCCTTCTTGCCTTGAGGCAATTCGACAAGTGACCAAGTGTTGTTGACTTCGATGGACTCTAGTTCCTTATTCATTGCTTTTTCCACTTTGAAACTCTCAATGCCTCAACTGCATTGACTATTTTGACATCTGTGTAGAAAGCATAGTGTATCAGCTCACCTTCTTCATTGTCCACATCATCTGATGTAATCACACATTCTTGCAACCCTGCAGGCATGTGTCATGTTCGTTGAGGTCTGCTTTGGCCTGCTTCACCTCTGATTTCTTCTTGTCGAACTTTTCTTTCAACTTCACTAGCTGGTTTTTCATATAAGATTCTCATTGAATCCTTCTTAACATTATCAGTACAATCTCTTTCCTTAAGCTCATCTATGATCATGTCCCTGTTGATCACAACTTTCTTATTCACTGGGTGGAACAACGTGTATCACTACAAGAAAACATTGAATTAGCTAGGGGCATGGGCTAGGGGGAAAACCCCTCACTAAAATAAAACCATTTGCTTGGGGTTAAACCCCTCGCAAACTGCAAAATAGGGGAGAAAAAAATATAAATATTTAGCTAGGGGATACCCCTCGCAATGAAGGAGGGAAAAATTTTTGAATTTTGAAATGCACTTTTACCAGGGTTCAGCGCATTTTTTGGTGGAAAAGCTGATCAATTTGCGAGGGGGTAGCCCCTCACCACGTTACGTTCACATTTTGCGAGGGGCAGCCCCTCGCCAAATGTCCTACTTTAGTCAAATCCCACTGAAAAAACATTTATTCCTCTGCATTACTCTGCAAAACGGTCTGCCACACGCAAAAGGTGGCTAGGGGATGCCACTCGCAAATTGCATGCTAGTAGCCTGCGTGGAGTGGCCCCTCGCAAATGCTGCCACGTCATGTGACCGTTGAGCATTGCGTGGAGTAGCCCCTCGCAAAATAAAATATTAATGCGAAAATTATTTCGCAGCCCACACATTTATTCCTCTGTCTTCTCCATTTCTCTCACAATCTTCTTCTTTCCCATTTCATTCTTCTTCTTTCCCATTTCATTCTCAAAGGTTTTCTTCTCTGTTCTTCTTCCTCCTTCATGTTCCAACATTTATATTCCATTTGATAAAAGTAAGTTATTTTATTTATGTATATTATTTTCGTATTTATAGTTTATTTTATTATTTAGATTTATTAATTAATTTTTTTATTTATTTGTGTGTTGCATGTAATGTGGATAATATAAGTTATCAAATTTTTGTCAAGAGGAACTAGAAATTTGGAAGAAGATCAAAAGGTACATACTTTTGTTTTTTTCTTAAAATTTTAGATGAATATTTATTTCGAAAATTATGTGTGTGGTGGCTATAAAACAAATTTTAACATAACATATTTATGTATATTTTTATGAAATAAATTATGTGTTGGTGGCTGTTGAAAATTATGTATATTTTTATGAATATAACAGATATATATATTTAATTATAAAACAGATTTTAATATTTATATTATAAAATAAATTTTAATTAAAATATTAATATTATATATATATATATATATATATATATATATATATATATATATATATATATATATATATATATATATATATATATATATATATATATATTATAAAACATATTTATCTGTTATAATATAAAACATATTCAGATTTATATTATAAACACATTTATAAACATATTATAAACAGAATATTATAAAACAGATTTGTATTATATATTATTTATTTAAAATAGAATATTTATTTATTTATTTATTTAAAACAGAATATTTATTATTTAAAACTGTATATTTATTTAAAGCAGAATATTATATATTATTTATGATTTATTTATATAAAACAGAATGTTTATTTATTAAATATTAAATAGATTATATAATTAAACAGAATATATTATTTATATTATATAAAACATAATATTTATATTATATTATATTAGAACAGAATATTATTTATTTATATTATATGAAATATTAAACAGAATATAAAACAGATTTATATTATATATTATTTATTTAAAACATAATATTTATTTAAAACATAATATTTATTTATTTATAAACATATTTAAAACATAATATTAAAACATATTATATATTATTTTTAAAAACAGAATATTTATTTATTTAAATTAGAAAACATATTATATATTTTTTTATAAAAGAATAGATTATATATATTAATATACACTTTTATTTAAAAAGTATGAGTTAAATCATAAAAATATATAATTTATAATATATTTAAGTTACATATACAAACTTTTTATATAAAGTATATAATTTGTAATATATACATTTTCTAAAATATTAATATAATTGTAATACATTTTATAAAATATAATATATACATTTTCATAAAAATATTTATTTTTCAAAATATTAATATAATTTAGTAATATATTTATAAGAAACATAATATTCTTGTAAAAACTATGTAAATTTGTAAAAATATGTTATAATTTTATTTTAAAGTTGTAAAATATTTTATACTTTAATAACATATTACGTATATAATATTTGTAGAAACATATAATTCTATAATTTGTAAGTTAAAATGTTATAAAGCATGTAAATTCGTAGAAACATAATATGGTATATATTAGGTAGGTAAATAGTCATAAGTTTGTAGGTAGATCAATTTCCCTTTTCTTAAATATAAATTTAAACATGAACAACCTTATACATGTGCAGTATGGAATATTACCAGTTCTATCGTAGTTGGATGTATGATAGAACGTATCCAGGAAGACGTGGGCTTAAACCATATTTTAAAGAAGGAGTTGTTGCATTTCTTACTTATGCGTTTGCTCAAGAATGTTGTCGAAGCGAAGGAAGGGTAAGATACCCGTGTTTAAAGTGTGGTTGCAGAAATATAATTAGTGACCCAAATGAAGTGAAACGACACTTGAAAAAAGATGGTTTTAGGCCAAATTATTGGGTGTGGTATTCTAATGGAGAAATACTGCCAGAGATGAATAGAGAGGCTTCAAGCAGTCAAACACGTATTGGAGTTGAGATAGGCAGAGAGACATCAAGCAGTCAATCACATTTGCAAGACCATGAACAATTTAATATCATAGATGATATGGTTGGTGATGCATTAGGGGTGAATGTGACTTATGATGAACCTCAAGATTTTGATGCAGATGAGCTCCCGAACGAGGAAGCGCAAAAGTTTTATCAACTGTTGAAAGAAATAAATATACCACTGTTTGAGGGGTCTTCTGACTCCATGTTATCCATGTGTGTGAGACTCTTGGCCGCGAAGTCAAATTGGAATATTCCTGATCAGTGTTTAGAATTCTTTGCAAAAATGATGTTGGATGTGACTCCTGTGAAAGAAAATATGCCTAAAAGTTATTATGATGCAAAGAGAATGGTGTCGAAGTTGGGACTAAAAGTGAAAAAGATTTATTGTTGCATTGGAGGTTGTATGTTGTTTTATGATAACGAGTTTGGTACAAATGATTGGGGATTGGAGGAATGTAAGTTTTGTCAGAGTCCGAGGTATTTAGTTCACAGTAAAGGTGTTGATCAAACACAAAAACGAGTTGCAGCGAAATCCATGTTCTATCTGCCAATAATTCCTAGATTGCAAAGGATGTTTGCGTCAATTCATAGTGCAAGCCAAATGACATGGCATCATACAAATTCCAATAGTTCAGGCATGATGTGACATCCATCTGATGGCGAGGCATGGAAACACTTTGATAGAGTACATACAGATTTTGCAGCAGAACCCAGAAATGTCAGGCTCGGGTTATGCTCAGATGGTTTTACTCCTTATATCCAATCGCCAGCAATTGCCTATTCTTGTTGGCCAATTATTGTTACCCCATACAATATCCCTCCTGAGATGTGCGTGACGAAACCTTACATGTTTTTAACATGCCTCATTCCAGGACCGTCGAGTCCGAAAGCGGGAATAGATGTTTATTTGCAACCTTTAATTGATGATTTGAAGAGGTTGTGGATTGGAGAATAAACTTATGATGTGTCTCGCAGACAAAACTTTAATATGCGAGCTGCTTTGATGTGGACAATTAATGACTTTCCTGCATATGGCATGTTGTCTGGTTGGGGTACGCATGGCAAAATGGGATGTCCACATTGCATGGGACACACAAAAGCGTTTACTTTGTAAATGGGTGGTAAAAGTTCATGGTTTGACTGTCACCGTAGATTCTTACCTAAGAACCATGTTTTTAGAAAAAAATAATAATGCTTTTAGAAAAGGAATAAAAGTAACAGATCTTCCTCCCCCTTGACTGTCATCGACTGAAGTGTGGAATAGTGTTAGTGACCTGCCAAAATTCACAGATAATGGTAAAACATGCAGAATTCCAGGATATGGGGATACTCACAATTGGACAAAAAGAAGTATTTTTTGGGACCTCCCATATTGGAAGGATAATTTGTTGCGACATAATCTTGATGTTATGCATATTGAGAAGATTTTTTTGATAATGTATTTAACACAGTGATAGATGTCCAAGGCAAGACAAAAGATAATGAGAAGGCTAGAAGGGACTTGGAACTTTTGTGTAATCGAAAAGACTTGGAGTTAAAACCCCAACCAAATGGAAAATTATTAAAACCTAAGGCTTGTTACACTCGTACTCCCCAAGAAGCAAAAGCAGTATGTCGATGGTTAAATGAGTTGAGGATGCCCGATGGTTACTCTTCTAACTTAGCAAGATGTGCTGATGCAAAAACAAGAAAGCTACATGGAATGAAAAGTCATGATTGTCATGTTTTTATGGAACGATTGCTTCCAATTGCATTCAGTTCACTTCCTAAGCATGTTCTTAATCCACTAATTGAGATTAGTCAATTTTTTAAAGACATTTGTGCGTCAACTTTACGAGTGGATGACATCTTTAAGTTGGACAAAAATATTCCCATCATTCTCTGCAAGTTAGAGCAAATATTTCCCCCTGGTTTCTTTGATTCTATGGAGCATCTCCCTGTGCATGTTGCTTACGAAGCTTACCTTGGTGGACCTGTTTAATATAGATGGATGTATCCATTTAAACGATTCATGGGTGATTCAAAGCGATCTGTGAAAAATAAGGCGAGAGTTGAGGGATCAATATGTGCACATTATTTACATCGAGAAACTTCACATTTTTTCTCACATTATTTCATTCATATGATGTTGACTCCGAGAATCATAAGGAATGAAGTTCACTTTAGTGAAAGAAGTCAATTCACCTTATCGGTTTTTGGCCGTCCCGGTCGTCCTTCTGGAAATACAAGTGTGCATTGGTTGTCTGAAAAAGAAATGCAATCTGCTCATGTTCATGTGTTGATTAACTGCGTTGAAGTTAAACCATATCTTGAGTAAGTATATTAAATTAAGTTTGTATTTCTTTTTGTTAAATATACTTATTTAACATATATTTTTTCTTCTTTGAAATAGGGCATTTAATACTTATTATTTTCAAAGCACGGGTGAACAACCATCGACAGGTTACACACATGCCTATTTTTCAGCATGGTTCAAGCAACAATTATATTGCATTGTTGCACCAAGTCCTGAAATAATTCATTTGAGAAGTTTATCTGAAGGCCCTCATCAGCGTGCAAATGAATGGCACACTTACTTTGTAAACGGATATAAATTCCACACTCAAACATGGACAGAAGGGAAGAAAATAATAAACAGTGGTGTAGTTGTAAAAGGAGTTACAGAGGGTGGTGAGGACGACTTTTATGGTGTTATCACACATATTTATGAGTTGGTATATAATTATATGGACCCGGATGTTTCACCCTAAAATTTGCCCAACCTTATTCACTTGGTTTATGTTTCAATATCATTAGCATTTGCATATAGAGTCATGTACATAGACTAATCATCTGCATAGCATAAGCATAGTAAGTCATTCAACAGGGGACCAATCATTATTCTCATCTCTAGAGGCCTATCATGAGGTTATTATCCTAATTCCATCTCATTCAAGTCATTAGGAAAGAATTTGAAAGCAAAGAGTTCAACAGATCAAGCCTTGAGTCCATCTCCTAGCTGAGGGTATCTGAGGATCAACAAAAGGGTTGTGAGCTGTGGATTGAAGGCATGGAGAGTATCTAAGCATTATGAGAGGCTTATAAAGTCATTTGGAGAAGGAGACAAATCATTGATGAGAGCACAAGAGCTACAGTTGAAGGCAGTCAACTAGGGTTTCATCTGGGTCAACCCTAGGTCAACCCTAGGTCAATTGACTGATTTAAAGGGCATTCAAGTCTAGTGGAGAGATGTGGGGTTCATAATTTGACATGGAGAATAAAGATATGGAGATATGCTAAGGAGAATTCAAGAGAAATCAAGGAGAAGAGGAGTTACTAAATTAGGGTTTCTCTGTAAAATCCCCTAGTTTAGGTCAAATTTCCAAGCAAGATAAGTCAAAATGCTAGCTTCAAATGGCTTCTTGGCCAACATGAAACTTGTAGAGGATCTCAAGACCTTTAATTTGAGTGGTGGAAGACATCAAGGAGATTTATAGAACTCAAGTTATGGTCCTTGCAAGTTACAGGTCATCTGAGGTATCTGAATTTTTGTCTGTGAAAGTGACTTGACTTCCAAGCTAGTTTTGCCCCTCAAGGAGATTTCAAATGAATTCTTGGTCAACATAAGAATTGTTCCTCATTGTCTTAGCTTTCTAGAATGGTATGGTATGCCTTCATATGATGTGTAGAACTCAACTTATGGTCTTGGCAAGCAAAGGGTATTTTGGGCATTTGTGAATTACAGGTCATTTTAACCTATGTCCGAAACTCATACAAGGAGGCCTCAAATGGAAAAACTTACAACATCAAACTTGCTCCAAATTGGATTTTAAGTCTAGAAAGAAGGTCACAAATTATTGGAGAAGCTCATAGCATGAAGTTGCATAATTGGTCAAAATATGAACTAAAATGGCTTATAAAGTGAATAAATTCAAGATGGAAAATGGTTTGGGAGATTTCTAAGTCCAAATGGAGACTTCCAATATATGATTTTGAATGGAAAAACAATTCTAAGAACAATGGTTCAAACACTTTTTTGAGTTTAGAAGGAAAAAAGAAAGTTATCTTTGGTTACTTGTAATTGAAGAAACATGACCAAAATGGATCAAAGTTGGAAAACAAGGGAATGTGCAAGATGGATCTAGAATGTTCATTTGGGGTCTATATATTCATGAAATGAGAATTTGGCAAGGGTTGGCTTCATTTGCACCAAGAATTCCACAAAATTTCTCATTCTTTTACATTGAAGTTTCATTCCAAATCTCACAAATTCTTCACCAATTCTCATCCACATCAATTCAATCTTGTTCAATCATCATCATAGATCATCATCCAATCAAGGATCAAGTGTGAATCATCCATTCTCAAGCACTTTCTTCAAGAACATCAAAGTTGAAGTTTCCATTGGACAGCATAATTCAAGCCAAGAATCAACAAGGAATTGCATACAGAATCACATACATCAAGGATTGATCAAGATCCAACACCTAGAAGCTTCAGATCCACGAGTTCCATAGCTGTTTTCAAGCTTTTTACACCAGGTATGTTTTCATTCGATTTGCTTGATTCAGTTAGTTTAACATGTTGTTGTTAGTTTAGATGCAATGTAGGTGGTTAGGAGAACAAGTAGGATGAATTTGGAGAGGTTTGGTGATGTTGATTAGCAGGTACCACAAACTGCTAGGGCTTGAATCTCCTAGGTTAGTGCATCATAATTGTAGCTTGATAGCGCAGGTTGATTACCATTAGCTGTAGGTTAGCTTAGTGTAAGTTTGAGGGAGAACTATCATGATGCATATCAGTGTAATTCCATGGTGACCAGAACTTGATGCCATCGGGTTGAGTGATATATGGAATTTCAGACTGAATTGAAACCACAGGATTGTAGAGGGAGAGATTTAGCATGATTTTCATGTTTACAGCATGTGGATTCGTGGATTGTAGAGTGAGAACAGAGGAGGTGAAGTTTACTCGTGCATGGCTGCCATGGGAGGTTAAAACCCTAGGTTCAGATCAATTGAAGAAGAGATAATCGTGGCCGTGTATTGGGCGTTGGACTTTTGACTTCCCAGGCAATCCAATGGCTCATATTTAATCTGATTTGTGGAGGGAAATGATTTGGCCAAAACGCACCGTTTCATTAATTGAAACGGGCGGGCCTCAGAACCTTATGCTATCCCCACCCCCAATGTTAGGCCCATTCCATTTTTGAACGTGATATCTGTTACTTTTCGTACCCCCAGCTCGTTTTTATTTTCATCAACTCTGGGTTGTTTCTGGGCCTTAACCAGAATGCTAAGCGCACCCCCCATTGTTGGCCCATCCTCTGCTTATAACTGGGCGAATTTCTATTCCAACCCCCCTCCCTCATTTTTAGTTCATTTTATTTTTAATTCCATTTTAATATTTTACCAACTTCAAAAATTCATAATAAATGCATAAAAATTCATTTTCAATCCATTCTTTTTACAACATTTTCTTTAGGATGTGTAGAATATTATAGAGAAATAAAATTGCATTTTTATTTTTATTTCATATTTTTTCCATATTTTCTAAATAAATGTCATATTAAATAGATTCATCTCATGCATCATTTTAATAATTTTTGTTCTCTTACATGCTTTAATATTTTTTGGTCATTCTTTTTATATTGTTTAGATGAGATATTCAACTTGTAGAAATATTTTAGTTCCCATTTTTAGAAGTTAATTTTAGGTGATTAATAAATGCTTGAACATCATGTACAAAACTAGGGTTTTAGATGACAACTTAAGAAGTTTGATTTCATTTCCCTTAGGACTTAGGGTTTGAATAGATTAGTTATGGGACCATAAGGGCTATGGGTAGTTACTAGACCCCTTAGAGAAAAGTTAAGATTCCCCTACTGCTATTACTCTACTGTATATCTGTTGTCTGGTGTGGTGTGCCCTCTGGGGGATTGTTGCTTGTTTGTTTGGGTATTGGGTTTGCTTGGGGATTTGGGAGAGCTGAAGACTTGAGGAGATGAAGCCATTGGAGATCCAGATGTTGAAGTCCAACTGCCAGAGTTGAAGAGAAGATTCTTGCTAACAGATGCTGAGGAGACTAGGGTTTAGGAGCTAGGCAGAGCTCTAGATTAGAAAGTTTGTTTCTCAAATATGGATTGCCTTGTCTGCATCCATTCTTCTCTGTGATTCAGAGTCTCTCTAAGACACTCACCCCCTTCCTTTGGAAGGCTTGGTGATAGTGTCTATGAGATAGAACTCTTGAGAGAAAATGTCTCTTGTGTTGGAAGTAGTCTGTTCACCACCTTTGGTAGTCAACTGATTGCTTAACACCCAATTCACTCTTGTGACTAATCCCTCATCCTGGAGGTTTGAGCTTGAAGAAAAGCCATTGCAGATAGAAGATTGATGATCAGAGCCCTTGCCTGGAGGTCATGGAGATGGAGATTGATGCTTGTTGAAGCCTGTAGCTGAATGGAGATTATTTGAAGTCAGATGTTGATCCAGAGCTGCTGAAGCTGTTTATTTTTGCTGTATTTCATTTGCTGGTGTATTGATTGGTTTTCTGAACTGTATTGTTTGCTGTTTACCCTGTTGGGTTGAAAGTGAAGCCTGTTCACTTTTGCCTATTGTTTTCTAGGTTCGAGGTTGAGTGGGACTCCCTTGCCTCGCTTGTACTGTTGCATCCATGCATTTTACTGCTTTACTGTATATATCTGGTATTGTTTCTGTTTCCGTCTATTCCCTTAGGATCTCTGTTTCTCTCTGTGCAAGAGAGGAGCATGATAGACACTAGGTCTTAACCCATGCATGATAACATTAGGTTAGTTTGATTCCCTTCGCAACTGTAGGTTAGAGTTCTGTCTCTTTCTTTCTCAAAACAAACAGAAAAAACACATAAAGATTTCAAACACAATAAAAGACACTTCTTTCGTAAAAGAAGGTGAACTCATCAAAACGTCATTTTTGTCCGCCGGGACTGTTAATCAAGGAAACCTTTTTCAGAAGGAATAAAATCAACCAAGACAGACTTGTGTCGTACGTGGCCCGAACTACGTTTGCTCTGATCTTTCATGCTGTATGAAAGTACGTAGGCATAGGATGCGATATCCTAGCGAGCAACCTTCCCCTCCTTTCCCGTAGGTAGGCGAACTACGTTGACTCTGATTTCTCGTTCCAGACGGGAATACGTAGGCATAAAGTGCGATACTTTGCCGAGTCATTTTTATTTTCATTTTATTTTCTTTTTCACCCTTGACCTATAGTTTAGATAGAATAACAATCCATACCCGAAAACAAGCGTGGATCCCATCGAGTACGATGGACGTGAGGGGTGCTAATACCTTCCCCTTGC